CTATTTAGTCTTATCTTCGTTATCAATTCTATTCAATAACTCCCCTTAATATATATCTTTCCACAGATCTAGCCTGTTATGTTATGTAGCTATATTATTAGGACTAATTCTATCTTATATTAAAGTTAATATAGGTAGCTCGCCAATAAAAGAAGATAAGAGGAAAAGGGGGAGAAGAAAAATATTATAAATAAAAAGAAGAAAAGAAAAACAGGATAAAATAGAACAGGGCAAAGAATAGATACAATAGGTTATTCTTATTTAGCTGTATTGTATTATTGTATTATATTGTATCAACTATATTATTTATCCTTAACATTAGAATTTAATTTATTTTAAGCAAGTGATAAATATAAATATAAAGATATAGAGTTAATTAGATAGTAATAATCAACCAATAATCATCCATATGACAATCTTCTCACAATTTCATATAATTTAAATTTTTAAATGGCTAATAAATTCAATCAAACCTTAATCAAGATATTATTTCATTAATTGTTTTTTAGGTATTGTTATTGTTATTGTTACAGTTATTGTTCAATTATTTTCCATTCACATTCTGTTTAGTCACAGTTTATTGCATCAGTTTCTCTTCTCTCTATGCAGTCTCAAATGGTCACTTCTGTTCCTAAGTCCAGTCCTGTCTCTTCCTTTCACTATTCTTCATTTTCAAATCACAAATCCATCAAGTTAAATTCCAAATTTCTGAACCCTCTGTTTTAATCAGCTCCAAGTTAATCAGAACAAATCTAAAGCATCAGTCAATCTTCCGTCCTCAAATAGATCGGCTCCAGTTCTCTATCTTAAAAGTTCCTTGCTTCCACCGCTGGATCGCCATTTTCCGATCGGACTTTCGTCCGCTATTTTAAGACTCACAGTTCTGTCATCTCTCCTCTGCTGTTTCCTCTCCTCGACTTTCACTTTCTGCCTTCTCCACTATCTGCCCAATCTGCTGTTGATGTCAAAAATGCTGCTCACACTCTGGTATCTTCCTCATTGTGTGAGAGTATCACGGCTTCGGTCTGCCATTGAGATGGCCGATCTCTCACATGCAGGAGTAAATGAGGTCTCCCTCAAAACTGCCGACTGTCACCACCGTCAAACTTCTTCTTGGGCTTCCCCACACCTTCATCTTCTCCTCTGGGGTCTACGCGCCCTTTGCCGGGGCCTCCAAGCATGCAGATTGTGGATTAGAGAGCAGAACTTGCTCTTCTCTCCCCACACTGCTGCGGCGCTGCAACTGGAAGTCTGTTCATCTGTTTTCTTGTATCTTGTTCTTGTACTTCTTGTAATTCTAGATTCCTTTGGCTCTTCATATTTTTTTCCATAGTATTCTACCTTATCCCCTTCTCCTCTTCTCTTGAGTCTTTCCATTTCTTGTGGTCTTTCTTTTTCTTCTATTGCTTGTTCTGAGTCTCTGCTTTCTGTTATATCGCTTTCTTCTCCTTGGTCTCCTGAGTCTTCTTCAATATCACAGTGTTGCTTGTAAAAATCTTCAGCCTTTTAAATGGTGTTGAGCTTATATCTTTTGTCCTTCCAAGTTCCATTATCCCTTCTGTTGTTAGCCATTTAAAATTGATGTTATTTTTGTTTAATCTCATCATTAAAAACTGGTAATTTCTCCTTAAATCCCTCATTCTTTTTGGAACCTGTTTTAAAACTATTATTTGTTTTCCTTTGTATTCAAGTTGCTCATTGCGTGTTCAATGTAAGATTTCGTCCCTGATCAATCTTTTAGTAAATTTTACGTGAACTTCTTTGGGGAGATGGTGTCTTCTTCCGTAACTTGTTTGGACCCTGTATATCTCATCCATTTCTGAGACCATTCTCAGTCTCTAAAGCAGGGGTGGGCAAACTACGGCCCGCGGGACACATCCGGCCCGTTGGTCATATTAATACGGCCCGCCTCTGAAAAAAAAATATTCCCCTCTGAAAAAAAATTGGGGCCGGCCAAAAGAGACCCCGCGCCGCGCGCCAAAAAATTGCACACACAACACGGAGCTGGGCAGCTGCTTCTCTGCTAGCGGGGCCAAGGCCACCGCCCGGGGAATGCCCACTGCTTTCCCAAGCCAGGGCTGGGCGGTGGCGTATTGCCCTGCACCGCGTGGCCCCCGCCTGGCAGCGTGCTTCTCAGCTGGTCTCCTCCTCCTCGGCCATACAGAACAAACAGGCAGAGAAGGAGGAGACCAGCCGGCTGGTTGGGGGAAGCTTTCTGCGCCGAAAGAGGCA